AGTGGATATGAGTGTACTTTAAATGTGATATTTCTTCTCCGCTCTCCTTTCCATTGTTGATAATTTTGGTATTTTGTCTAATCTTTTAGGTAACACCAATTCAGACTTTGCCATCAAYAGYAGTACAGGTGTATTATCGKTGGCTCGTTCACTTGACCGCGAAACGACCAAATACTACGACCTMATTGTGACAGTAAGCGACAACGGATCTCCTAAACTTACCACGMAGATTAACCTGGGAATTGCAGTAACTCCAATCAATGAGTTCAAGCCCAACTTTACCAAAGGTTTTTATAGCGTCGYACTCAATGAAGATGTGGCCATCGGYACRACAGTKYTAACGTTGACTGCGCATGACAGCGATAGTGATAGTCAGGGGGACATTASTTTTAAAATASTGGACGGTAACCAGGCGGATATGTTTTTGATTGGTGTTAACACAGGAGASATTTTACTGAAGAAGCGYTTAGACTACGAGCTGCAGTCYGCTTATAGTTTATYAATCAGAGCGACAGATGGYGCRTCMGCYAACCTTATTAAACACAGTGACGTAAGSGTCAATTTCACGATTATTGACATCAACGACAACKCCCCGTCATGCGTAGATCGTTACAARCTAATTACACTACTCGAATCTACAATAAAAGGAACACTMATYTTCAAAACGAATTGCACAGACTCAGACTCARGTGGAAACTCTTTACTTAGTTATGACATCATAACAGGAAACGAGGAAGGAATTTTCAACGTKACGTCATCAGGTGACGTCATGACTATCAAAGGTCTYGACAGTGAACGTWCTTCGATGTATAATCTGGTTGTCATGGTAAAGGATACCGGTAATCCACCATTGTCGTGTAATATCACGTTGACAGTTWGCGTTCAGCCGGTTAATGAGTTTGTWCCWACGTTCGCTAGTGGTGATCTATATCACTTGGACGTAAGGGAGAATATTACTTTGGGTARGTCAATAACTTAGATATTGATTAACTTAATTACACCCAGGCACTAAATAATCCAGTTTTGAATTTTCAAATGCTCTGTGTTAGCCTCATTTGYGCGCAAAATATATTCCTAATTGTGAGAATAAAAGTGTGAGATTTGAAATCAATTTTGTTGTCTTTCTTTTCAAATTTCATGTGTTTTCTCGGGCTTTCAACGACCAAAATAATATGTTACTTGCATGGTTTTRAGGCTAACACAGAGCAGACAGGAACTTAAAATATGAGTATTCCTTGGAGGAATTAATTTTTAGCTCTGTATCACAAAGTAATCTTCTTATCAACTTGATTCGTTTGTAGAGTGAACGTCTTTCATCTTTTCCAAAGACTAATGCATGTTTTTATGTACGCCCTTTATAAATGTAYACTTTTATTATTATTGTTGATAAATCTTAGTCTATCCTTATTAATCTTGTATAAATGTATTACCTAGGTACTGTAATCTTCAAAGCCAAAGTRCAAGACAACGACACCGGTTTAGACGGCACTTTATCATTTTCTATGCTGAACAACTCATTATATGACAAATTCTACTTGGATGCTGTTGACGGTCGTCTAATATTAATAGCTAGCCTTGACAGAGAACAGCAGGATAATTATAACATAACTATCAAGGTGCATGACGGTAGAGCTAAGCAATCTAACGTAACTGTCAATATCAACGTGGTTGATGTCAATGATAATGCCCCAGCGTGCACATCGACACTCTATTCATTGGAGATACCTGAAAGTAAGTGACCCATAGCTTGGCATTTTTACTTTGACCGTTACAAAATTTTCTTTACTCCGCTTTGGAGGACGCCCTTAGTCGTGCGAAATGAATCATGGGAATGACGAATGTTGTTGCTATGTTTCAAGGTGCTTTTTCCTTATATTTTCTTATATCCATAGCTATTGCTGTTGGATCTAACATAACGACCTTCACATGCACTGACCAAGACTCAGGCCTCAACAGTCAACTAACGTACACTTTTGGCAGCGGGAATACTGGAAACCACTTCAAACTTGATAATAATACCTTAGTGGTTGCTAAGCAACTTGACCATGAGACCACTGATGAATATAGCTTGGCTGTCAAGGTAACGGACGGTGGAATCCCAGCTCAAGTGACTGATGTCATGGTAACTGTGGTTGTGATAGCGAAAAATGAACATATTCCTAAGTTTGAGAATGCGAGTTACACAGTGAATATTTCAGAATGGACCGCGATTGGTAAGAAAAATATGAAAATATTTTTTCATCCTTACTTAATATCAACTACGAATCAACTACGACACCAAAAATGACCATATATTTAACAATTAGACCTCGAGGTCGAGTGGACTAYGAGCTAATAGCCCATRAGGCCGAGTATAAACATATTAATCGGTCAAATAATGAAAACAAATTGAAATRTCCTTAAAATAGTTTATGATTCATAATTTATTTATTTTGATTTTCCCGCGAGTGGTCTATCACAAATTAGACCATTAGTAGAGTAGCCAATCACCTCGCAGTATGAGTGATAGACCATTAGTATGTTTATACTAAATATAATATATTTTACATTGTGTGTTTAAATTTCCCAGGACATAGTGTGTTTGACGTAAATGCAACCGATGACGACAAAGGTATCCATGGAAACCTAGAGTATTACATCACTTCCGGCCTGAATGGAAGCATAGATTTTACAATTGATAAAACTACTGGAATAGTCAGGGTTGGATCCAAACTAGACCGCGAAACGAGGGACACTTATGTACTGAATATTACAGCTAAGGACAAAGGGATCGCGGAGCACGAGCAGTTGTCACGGACTGTCCTGGTAAGCTAATATCGACTTGATTGATGTGGAAACTAAACTATGCTTATTAATATTTCTAAGTTGTTTCCTAGAGTGATCGCAATTAAACCGTGCAACTGTACAAAATCTAAAAGTAATTTGTACTAAAAGTGGACCTGAAGCAACACGGTATTGAATGCTTCATTTGTATCAATTCAATTTAATTTGCGTACAAGATTTACTAAATACAACAAAGTAGAACTATTTATTTTGCACAGTTGCACGGATTAAGCGCGCTCACTCTATAGTCCAATGAACACTATTTAGCGATAATTGCTTCATGGATTTAAGTGCGTCTAGACTGTTGAAGTCATTAAAACCCGTGAAACAAAAGTGGACTATTAAAGTGTCAAATAGACACAAACAAAGCAATGCAATCAGAGCGTACTTGGTAAATTAGTGCAATATCTATTTCACGGTTTTTTTTACTTCACTTTACTTGTTCATATAATAATTGTTATCAATTCCTATGTGATCAGCTGACCATAGGCATCACAGATGAGAATGACAACCCTCCACTTTTCACCGAAGTAATATACACCACTACAATACCGGAGAACATCCCTATTGGYAACAGTGTTGYTATGGTTAYAACTACTGACGCTGACATTGGAMTTAATGCTGACCACACCTATACTATAACTGGTAATACAAGTTTGCGCATGCGTAAAGTAATATTTTTGTCATATTGAGTTTATTAGTAGCATGGTAATGTATAGCAATATTCCATGCTAACTACATTCTGATTGGCACCCTAAATGTCATGATAGGGTGGGTAATCAGCGATATTATAAAGCGTTTCTCAGTGAAAAAAATCGCAACTCTTTCTCGTTTTTACTATTTTTTTACTCGTTTTACATAATTTTCTTTTTGAGTACATTTTTTTTATCAAAATGTTTACAATTTCTTTCTCTAGGTGGTGATGGTCTTGGTAAGTTCTCTATCAATCAAACAAGTGGAACCATTGGYGCTCTGGCAGGCTTAGACTACGAGACAAAGTCCACCTATTACCTCTCAGTGATAGCACGTGATCATGGCGTGCCACAACGTCACGCACTCTCAGGCGTGCGCATCTTTTTAWCTGATGTTAATGACAACAAACCAGTCTTCAAACCGACGCTCTATATCACGAGTATATTAGAGACTACATCAGCCGGAAGTGATGTCATCCCAGTTTATGCTAGTGATCCAGATTCAGGCATAAATGCAGAGATCTTGTTCACAATCGCAGGGGGAGACCCAAAAGATCAGTTTAATGTTATTGAAAATGGAACGATTAGAACCAAAAGAACACTTGATCGCGAAGACATTTCATCATACTCATTGATCATACGCGCATCGGACAAAGGCTCCCCGGTCCTCAGTGAAACTGTATCAGTTCAAATCACCATAGAGGATGTCAATGACAACGCCCCTATATTTGGGAGCTCTGCTTATAGCGTGTCGGTACCAGAGGATGCTCCGATAGGAACTCGATTTCTGAATATTTCTGCTACTGACGCAGATGTCGATTTAAATGCCAAGCTTACGTATTCTATTGTTAGTGGTAACGTTGGCAACAAGATTTCTATCGATGAGAGTACAGGAATTTTGGCAACAATCGGTAAGTAGAYCATGCAGATCACAGCTAATAAATAGGAAACATGCACAATTGATCTCTGAGGGTACTTCCATTCTATTTTACCGAAGTCTCTACTTTTCTGGGAATATTAAATTCTCCCTCCTTTGGATGGTCCGAATATGAATTCTTCAAAATCAGTGATGAAGACCTTTTAACTAAACAAGCTCTCACTTGCGCACAATGTTTTCGTACGAATGTTTTTATTAGGACTCGTGTTGATAATATATGCATAAARAAGAAATAGGATCAAAAATAACATGTTATCATTATTCATCTTTAGGTACGTTCGACCGTGAGAAACTCCCAAGTTATCAACTGACCATCAAAGCACAAGACGCAGGGATCCCATCGAAGTACTCCACCACCAATGTAGAAGTACGAATCATTGATCGTAACGACAACTCACCTTCTTTCACACGTGCTGATTACAGCTTCGCAGTAACAGAGAATCAGCCCAGCGGTCTATTAGTTGGCGTCGTCAAGGCAACTGATATTGATAATGGTACACATGCGCAGTTRGTTTATAGCATCGAGCCAACGTCGCATAGCAACCATTTCTCCATTAATCCTCTCAGTGGTGTGATATATACAGCAATGGCGCTCGACCGCGAAGCTRTGGCATCTTAYGCATTAAAGGTTAGTGTGGATTGAATRAATGATGTCAGGGAATATTGTAYACTACATTACAGTCGACTCTCGCTATTACGGACACTCGGGTCCGTAGTTTAGTGTCCGSAGTAACGAGAGTCYGTACTACGGGAATTGCTTTCAGTCATTTCTTYGTATTTTTTGCCAGGGATTCAGTATTTCGTGTMCGTAATATCGAGGTGTCCGTAATAGCGAGGTGCCCGTAAGGCGAGAGTCGACTGTATAGGAAACATTATTTATTGTTAGTAATTTCTCTTTTGTTCAAAACAATTGTTTCTCTTTTACATAAGGTTAAAGTGAGTGATTCTGCTTCATATCCTAATCAACTATACAACACAACCACAGTGTCGATATCTGTACTGGACGTCAATGATAACCCGCCGGTATTCACAAAAAACAAAGACAATGTTTCAATCGCAGAAAATTCTCCATCCGGGACACTAGTTACCAGGGTCACAGCAACTGATACGGACCGTGATGCTAATGCGAGGGTCAGTTATACCTTGGCGCACACTAACATTKCTGACGACTACTTCAGAATCGATTCAATTACAGGCGAGATTTTTGTGAAAAATGTCTTTGACTATGAAAATATTCAGAATGTTACACTCACTTTAAACGCAAGGGACGATGGTCTTCCTCCTTTGTCTGGTTCGATGAGGCTAAGAGTAGACTTGATTGATGTCAATGATAATGCTCCAAAAATGAGTTTAGGTAAGTCTGTCAMTCACTTCACTCACTTTCCTGTAAACTGTCAGCTCTTTACTATCACCCAGAACTCTCTCTAAGATATGGGTCACCCATTCCTCTCCCATACATGTACTTCTCTCAACATATTATAATTAGAGATTTTTGTCATCTTGAAGGTTTTTGTCACATTTTTTATTTGAACAGTTTTGACTCATTAATTGAAATAATATTTTATGTTTCATCAGAATTGTACGATGCTGAGATCCGTAGTGACCGTGCTTTAGGTCTGCCGGCCATCTTGACGGTCAGTGCCACAGACGAAGACAGTGRAAGAAACGGTAGAGTTTCATATGAACTTGAAAACSAACAAAAMATCTTCAGCCTGGACACAGTGACTGGTGTGATAGTTCTCGAAGCTTCTCCAGGAAACGGTATGATAGCAAAAATATACCAAATATAACTGTACTATGAACATGTATGCAACCATTTAAACAAATCTTTTTGTACGTTTGTTTCTTCTTAAGGATTCTTTAATAACAGTTGCTCTTTAATCCTCGATGTTTTAGGGAAAACGTACACTTTCCGTGTCCGCGCAAAAGACGATGGAGTAATTCCACTGACCAGTAGTTATTCGACTGTGCGCATCGATACTATAGACGCTGAACAGACAATGGTTGACATAACTTTGGACATAACACAAGAGGAGTTTGAGGCGAATAAAGAATATTTCTTAAAAAAGCTATCAGCGATGTTGGGCGCCGATGTCAAAATTGCAGAAATACAGCAGCAAGAAGTAGARAAAAAGAGAAGAAAAAGAGAAACGAAAAAAGGGTAAATTGAACTCCTGTTCTTTCATTTAATTCTGTTTCTCTATTTCATAGTAAAAGGTTATAATAGCTCTTAGTTTTGTCTTTAAAATGCTTGAGTATAACATTGTCAGTATAGCTTTTTCTAGGCTTAAAGGTCCACGTGAATCAAAGAGCCTTTGCGATCGTTTCTTTTGTTGAAAGGTGATTTCTGATTGGTTCAAAATCAAAGATGGCGATTTTTCGTATTTGAGAAAATCTCGCAAAGGATCTTGGATGCACGTGGGCCTTTAATGATCCATAAGCAAATTCATAGTTTTACGAATGGTGTGACGAGATTTGAGAAAAAGTATTTATTCATTCATTAATTTGCTTCATCAAGAATCAAGATAACCTTCTACGCTGTAAAGAAACCCTCCACCAACACRACAGACGTACAAACCAAGTTAAAAGATGTGAAAAAGTTTTTGTCACGTGACGAGATCATGAGCGTTCTATTGGACAAGGATGGCAACCTTAATCCGGAACTGACCAATAGCACTGAGTTAGGCGTAAGTACTTAATGAAACGATTACAAATTAAAACATATCCTCATTGCTCGGCTGGAATTATTACAGTTCCTAGCGCCATTGACTTTGAAAAGTAGACAAGCTTTAAATCAAAGCAAGAATGTTGTTCGAGCCTGCAGATACCTTAGAGTGATCGCACTTAATCCGTGCAACTGTAGAAACTAAATAATTCTATTTAGTTGTATTTAGTAAATCGTGCAT